ATCTATTGCAAATAATATTTCAACATTATATGTATCGCATAATAAAAAATTAATCATGGCGCCACGGACAATCCCTGTAAAATTAGCGTGGCATTCAACGTGTTAATTGTATTGGACACCTCTGTGTACAGTTATCATTACGTATACATTGAACTTTTATTCGTCTCGACGTGATCATAAAACGATCCCGTTTCCATTGATACGTCAAAATTCGAACGAACGATCTAAAGATCTCGCGCTTCCAATTAATTGAACGCCCGATCGAGTCGAAAGGAGTTGGTAAAAAACGAAAAGTCCCGACGATCGGGTGAATCGAGTGCGGTGAAAAAATGTAATTATCGGGTGAAGTGACCCTTGGACTAATGGCGAGACAGTGGCCGGTGCCTCTTTCTGGCCAGCTGCTCCCGTTTTAAGGGTATCTCTCGAGATACAAGGGTTCGACATTAACGCGAGTCGGCGAAGGGGACGAAGCGAACTAGCGGCCGGTCAGAAGTTCGCAGAAGTTGCGACCTGTGCGGGAGGGGTTCGAGCTCTCGAGACAGTGGCCGTGCCATGATCGCCACGGTCGACGACGCGAACTATAATGGAATAATTTGTCAGCGGTTTTCCACCGTTCAGAGTTCCCTCGCAGTTTTTCACCCATCGAGCGCAGAGTTTCGAAACTAGTTTACGGATGCACGAGTCGAAACTCTGTCGTTTGAGTCAGGAACTTTCGGAATAAATCCGTCGTGCGTCGTTTTCATGCCTGTGGACGTTCTTACGTTAGACGCGTCCGACGTTATTCGGGACGACTCGGCCACCTTCTACGTTACATAAAGTCATCGGGCCTGTCATCAAATTCGCGATCACTGTACTCGAACGTAATCGACGAACGTTAAATCACCGAATTACACCGACGAAATCGCGCGGTATCGCAATCGAAACGCTTATAAAAGCAAGCTGACTCTGAAGAGTCCTCAGTCCATCGGTTCTTCAAGCTCAATCGGTTCGTCTACGTCTTGTTCGATAATTAAAATATGCTGCTCAAGTTACTGATTTGTGTCACGTTCATGTTCGTCGTATTAAAACCAGCGGTGAGCGTGAGTAACGAGCAGCTGGAAAAAATGGTCAAAAGCATGAGGAAGACGTGCATGCAGAAAGTCGGTGTCTCCGAGGGTGAGTAAAAGAAGCAACGAAATTCGTCGATTATAAGTAAAATATTTATCTCAAATCTGTAGATTTGGTCAATGGGGTGTCCAAAGGAGAATTCCCGGACGACGAGAACCTCAAGTGTTACTCGTACTGCATTCTGAAAGCAATGCGAGGCGTAAGTGTAGACGAATCGACGACTTTCTGTACACCAGTTAGAAACGTTTAATTGATATCTATTCTTGTATGCTCAGTATAAGAACGGAGGCATCGACTTTGCCATGATAACCAAACAGATAGACGCGATGCTGCCACCGGATAGGGGAGCTCTGATAAAAGTAGCCATAAACTCGTGCCGTTCGTTAGGTAAGACCGACTCCGATAATAGTATTTGTACAACAACGGGTGAAAATAGGCTTTTCCAAGCAAGGATGTTTGAGCACGAGTTTGAAACAGCCCATTTTCACTGTATTTTTTATAAAAAGTGTATAAAGAAGACCATTTTTTGTCGTCTACAAAGTGGATCGAGGGTATAAGGTAAAGGAAGTAGTACTGGGACAAAACGAATTTTGGAACCAGTACTTGGACATAATAGATATGTATTTAATAATTTACTGTCCAAGTTTACAATCCCTTTTGAAACTTAATACGTACAAGTGGGACAAGACGGCAGTGGTTGTCCAGGTTTAGCCCCTCACTAATTAATCGCGCTGCAATACCTGGATAAATTCGAATCTGGTATAAAAGCCATTCAAACGTATGATATATTTTTCACAATAAATGATTTAGTGTATTTTCATAACTTTTCAACCCTTTCTCTTAATCCAACTGTTTCTCAATTCGCTTAGAGGCGTCATAATAATATTGTCCCAGTTCTGATTCCATACTTGTCCTAC